TGCCCAGGCGGGGGGGGGGAGAAGATGGTGGGGGGCACTGGTACTAACCCAGAACTGCCCAGGCTAGGGGGGAGGATGGTGGGGGGCACTGGTACTAACCCAGAACTGCCCAGGCCGGGGGGGAGAGGATGGTGGGGGGCACTGGTACTAACCCAGAACTGCCCGGGCCAGGGAAGGAGGATGGCTGGGGGCAGCTGCTTGTCATGTTTCTTCCCCCTCGCCCTTTTAAAAAGCTCCAGGGCAAAACAAAATGAAGTGTGCTGGCCGCTGTGTGTTTGTACACGCGTGGCTCTACATGCGTGTACACAGACATCGGCTACTGTAGTACAGGCATGCACGTGTGTGTGCAATAAACCCAGCCCCGCCATGCAATGATCTAATCTGTTCTTAGTGGTGTGAAGGGGGTGGGGACGGCAGAGGGCTACCTGTATTCATAGACTTTCCATGCATGTGCCTTTTGCACGCCCAGGTGCGCGCTGGCACGCGGGCCCCTGGGAGAAGTTGCACGCGCGCACACACTGCCCGGGGAGAGAGAGGAGAAATGTGCAGAGAGCAATGGCATTGGGAAGCCCTGAGCAGACCAAACGCGCAGAGCCCGGAATCATCCTCACCCCCCCTTCCCTTTCCCCCTTTGTTCCCAGCCGTGCAGGGGAGGGAAACGCCACCCAGGGAGCCCGGGCTGCCGGTGATTCCCCTGCAGCTTTTTGTGCTCAGCCAGCTCTCGCTTCTCCCGTTTCTCGCCCGCAGCAAATAAAGGATTCTCCCCCCAGCCCCCGGCAGCAGCTCGGGGGGAGTGAGTTAGCAGCAGGCTGGCTTTGCAGCACAGCGGAAGGGAATCGCCTTTGCAATCCCTGCACTGAGATGCGGGGAGTGCATGAAAGCTGCTGCTTCCCGCAGGTTTGCTGCACCCCCCCCCGCAGCGGGCATGCTTTGCTGCGATCGATTGGGCGGCTGGGCGATTGCACGGGGCTGGTTGCTCCGCTCCGGGGCTGGCTCTCTAGCCATCACGCGCCAGCGCTGGTGGGGGCCAGCCAGCCGGGCAGGGCTGGGCGAGCCGCCGCCGGACCGAGCAGGGGCCGGAGGCGGTGGGGGAGGGGAAGGAAGCAATGGTTTACAGCTACCTAGCAGCTGTTGCAGGGGCTGGCTTGGCTTCTGCTGCACGGCCACCAACTTATTAACAGCACCTGCCCCACTGCTGGGTGCGCCTAGAAACCGAGAGTCCTGCATCGGGGGGGTGTGCATGGCTCTGCGCTCCGCTGCTGTGAGCTCTCTCCCCCATCGGCCCTAGGAACCTTGTGCTGCTCACGCTCCTGGTGCAGGGAGCAAACCTTTGGAAGAAGTGCATTTACCCCCACATGGTTGTTACAGAAAATTACCTATACGGTTGATTTAATGGGGGCGTGGGTGGTGGTGCCTATAGAAACATTTGCACCTTGCTGTGATTTCATAGTGCAAGGCAGGGGTGCCTGTGTTTTCAGGACTAGAGTAATCTTGAAAAACTCGCCCTTTTTAATTTCACTTCCCTCTAAGGGTGAAGAAGTGTGTGCTTAATCGGTTAGTAGTTTCAGCCCCTCTTGCCTGACTGTCAGGTCAATTAGTTACCTTCAGAGAAAGGGCTCTCATCCGCAGAGAGTGCAGTAGGACTTCAGATTCTCGTGGGGATTATATTCAACCAATGCAGGCTCCTGCCATGAAGATTAATTTTCACTTAATAATCCCAGATGTTTAATTAGCATAGTGATGCCCAGTTCTGCTGTCAAAATCAATCAGGGAAAGTGTCTGGAAAGACAAACAGTTAATTTTGTTTAAGAACATAAAATTGAAATGTTTGGCCAGGCTAAAACAAGACTTTTAAATTACATTGATTTGCTTCCAAAAACACTGTTTTAGTTCTGGAAGGAGTAAAATTCTCCAAACCTGCACTTTACTATCTCTTGGTGCTAGGGATTAAGTTGACATTCCCATTTTATATAGATAGTTTAATAAATCAGTAAGCTTTAATTAGTTATAATATGTGACTGTCTTCTGCAATATACAGCATATGGTGTTGGTAACATATCAGTGACAAACATCTTTACCTTAATCCTTATACATGAAAAGATACCAAGCGGTTAGAGATTACTTTTTTTCCTTACAATGAAAATCCTTACAGTAGTTGTATATGTTAAAGCAAATGCACACATCTGCAATGTTATGCAGTTCAAAAACATATTTATAAAGTTTTCAGGGATAGTAAAGAAAGTAATGTGAAAAAGTGACATTTTACTGAAAAAAAGGACATCTTGGAAGCCAACAATGAGATTTACTACCTGGAAGGAGACATGCATTGTGTTGTATTTTAATGAGGACATTTACTTTGGCTCTTTATCTAAACTTACTAAAATCTTATTCATTGCATACTGCATTGTAACAATGCCATCTTTACATAACACATGGTACAAAATATTGAGTAGGAAGAGGTTTCTGCTATTTTTTCTTTTTAAAGTATGGCAACAGTTAAAACCCATCACCAGGCCCCACGAAGAGCCATCTTTCCACTATATTTCACTGAATGTGGAGGCCACCTGGCAACATATACGCCCTGTGCCACCCACACCAATTTCTTTCATTTATTTATTTTTTGTTACTCTATCTGGAGAGACATCAACTTGCCGACACCTGCCAGACAGGACTACTGCTTCCTGCAGCCTAATGCTGAGAACCAGTGTACAGCAGGCCCCGTCACAATCCACACCACCACATGAAGACTATGGAGGAAGGGCAATGGAAGGAAAAGGAGGATTTGGAGGGCAGCTGTTGATCACATCTTCCAGTCCATTCCTCTGGGGAAGTTGCTTTAAATTGTTCCTGTGCTTTCAATATCACATATTACTGAGTCATAGCACAGATTCACCCTTTCACAAGCCCTCCAAAAATTGGTAGGGTCAAAGCGTAGGGGATTTCTTTCCTACAGAACAGTTTCTAAAGGGGCTCACTCCATTAATTTGCCTCCACAAATAGGTAATAAAAGGATAGTTCTGCCTTATCAAGCTGCTTTGGCCATTTATCTAATGTGCACTCAAAGATTTGTCTTTCCAGTAGAAATGAGAAGGCTGCAGAACATCTGGAAGTTCAGGGCAAGCTCTACTTTTAACGTGTGTGTCTAGGTTATGGAACTGTAAAATCAAACTGTAAAAGTTTCTGGTGAATGATGGGTTATTTACTACCGGAGTTATGATGTATTTCCTTACAAAGTTAGTTTAAATTTAAACCAAGACTTTTTAAGGTAATATAACTGTTGGGTTAGATCTGGCTATTTTCAGTGCATGGCTACATAAAGACATCATTTTCCCACTTCTGAGATGAAGACAACTGGTACTATACACCATTTAACAGAATGGTACTAACAG